GTGCTTCACTTCCAGAGACAGTTATAGCACTGTGTAACTGCCTCGACGGTGCTTGACCATTTTAACACAACGTGGTGCGATCATCCCCCGTGCGCGGAGTGAGGGTTCTCCACCCCGCACAGCATGATCCACTCGACCATGATGGTTACCGCCAAAGAAAAAGCAGAGGTAAAAAAAAAAACGGTAACCTGGTTGCCGAGTTCACGAAGTGAATTGGCTTGTTTNNGGGGGGGGGGGGGGGGGGGGGGGGGGGGGGGGGGGGGGGGGGGGGGGGGGGGGGGGGGGGGGGGGGGGGGGGGGGGGGGGGTACTCTTACGTTGTGCAGCCTTTGGCTGTTAGACCGTTCAACTTGCGTCCTCGAGAGGACGGAGCATTGTTCCCCTGGGCTAAAGGTGTCTCAAAAAGAGAGGGGGGGCGTGAGGGACTTCCTGGCTCATAGGAAACTACTCGAAACACACAACGAACAACGCTGATGTGGCAGCGGGCAGCAACAAGCACCACCGTTTTCTTCTGCCAACCTGAGCCCACCAAACCCATCAACCACCTTTGGCACATGGACACTACCATTACCACCCACCGCTATACGTGAAACCGTTCGAGCCGCTTCCACACGACCAACACCATCACCAACAACAGCAAAACACTGCTGACGTATCATACCTGCGGGATAACCACACCTCCGACCACCATATTGCTTTCCAGCGACCACCTTGCCACGACGCCATTACCACTATCACCCACCGCTACCTTCTGCACAAGGAGCTTCCACCACATCAACGCTACCACCAACCATAGCAAAATGCTGCCGACATGTGTGCCTGTGGGATGACCACTGACTACCACAAACATCCACCGCTATCTTTGACACAACATCACACCTTTGGTCCCAGCACCAGCACCAACAAAAACACTGGTGACACGTGTATTGTCGTACCTGGGGAATAACCTTGTCCAGTTCCGTCTCGGCGCAGTCAAGCAGGTGCTCGAAGAAGTCTCCCCTGTCCAGCAGAAAGTAGTGCTTGATCGACTCCAGGCGAGGGAGGAGTTGGCCCTGGTCGCGTCCATCCATCGTTCGTCGCACGCGGATCACACCATAAAGCACAAACAATAAGCTTCATTGCCAAAGGAACGAGTCCCCTCCCACTCGCGTACCATGTGTGTTCTTAGGCAGGGTTTGAACGGTGGACGCTGTGAAGGCTACACCGCAGAACGGGCCCGTAGGTAAGAGATATTTCGCTGAGCAATAGAGGCTCAACTTTTCACGAAAAATCAGAAAATAGATCCAAGAAACACACCCTCAGCCGTGGATCCTACACTATACCCTACATAACGAAATAAGAAATTGAGCCTCGACCCAAAGTTTAATACCGAATGAAGCAGATGAAATACACCATGTGTGTCCTTATCGGACGGTTTGAACGGTAGACGCTGTGAAGGCTACACCGCAGAACGGGTTCGTCGTAAAGAAGTATTAGTATTTCGTTAAGAAATAGAGGCTCAACTTTTCACGAAAAAGCAGAAAAAAGGTCCAAGAAACATAGCTCAGCGGTGGATCATACACTAAACTCTATATAACAACCTGTGCTCGACACAACTCAGAAGTGAATACTACACTAAACTCTACACTAAACTATCTATATTGGCCGATGCTCGACAATAGATAGCGACGAAATAAGTAATTTACCGTCGACATCAAATAGACGTTTCTTATTTCCGGGACCGTTCGTTATACACCGAATGAAGAAGGTGAAATACACAAGGGGTTAGAAAAACACGCAAAAACGTATTTCACTCCCAGAGCCCAGCGAACCTCAACGAACCAGAAAGAACAATCTATCCATACAAATCTACACACAGCAGCCTCATGAACGTAGCTTTCCAAGCCTTACCCACCTCTCTAACGACGAGGTCCATGAGGCAGCGAGAGGCGAAGCCGTAAGCGCCGTCGATGACCTTCGAGTACAGACCCTCGCCCGCGGTCCCGGGGTCAGCGGGGATGGGGCCGGCCAGGGGACAGTCCACCCGTCGCCCGCACTCCCTATTATCGTTGCAGTAGTCGTCCATGCGATTATTGTTGTTGTTGTTGTTGTTGTTGTTGTTGTTGTTGTTGTTGTTGTCGTCGTATAAAGCCTTGCTGATATGTTTCAGTGAGACGAGAGTTTGCTAAGTTGTGTTGTCGACGCGACTGTTGTTATTGATGTCGTTATTTGTTGATCTCGATGTCGCTCCGAGGGTGTGCCGGCTTTAGGTGGTTGTAGCCTTGTATACTTGGTTGATGTGAGGATGTGAGCGGGGGCAATCAATTCATCAAGCTGCCTTTGGTCGACAGGAACTCGCTTGACAACGCCGAGAAAATGATTCGTCAGTCCCTGTTATGAAGAACATCCGGGTAACAATCCGACTGGAGTGTCCTTGCCACTATGAGATCTATCCAACGCCTACACATTTTTCCGGACTACCTTATCTCGCCTGATAAACGCTGAGGCACTGTACCTTCCGTTGGTGAGCAAACTCGCCTGACATCGGTGAGCGCATTTTTCGGTGTAGAGTATCTTGTGTACGGTCAACTTACCTGACAACGTTGAGGTATAATATGGTGCCTGACAAGGAATATTCTGGTGTAGAAGTATCCTGTGTACGGTGCCTTGCCTGACGACGTTGAGGTGTAATGTGGTGCCTGACAACCTTGTTAAGATTGAGGAGAATTCTGGTGACGAGTATATTGTGTACATGTACCATAACTTGCCTGACAACGTTGAGGTATTTTCCGGTGGTGAGAATCTTGTCCTGTCTGCCGGCAAGGTTGGCGATGACGTGCTCCGGCCGCAGGAGGTAACGCCCGGACCAGTAGCGTGTGTTGAAGTCCTGAAAGGAGATAGAGTGGGAAAGGGGGTGAGCGAGAGACAAAGAGCGAGAGAGAGAGAGAGAGAGAGAGAGAGAGAGAGAGAGAGAGAGAGAGAGAGA